CTTTCCCTTCTCTTCCTTCCTCTCTTTTCCTCCTTTCCTTTCCCTCTTTCCTTCCTTCTTCCCTTCTCTCTTTCTTTCCTGCCTTCTTCTCTTCTCTTTTTTCCTCCTTTCCCTGTTTCCCTACTTCTTCCATTCTCTTTCTTTCTCTCCTTCTTTCCTTCTGTTTCTTTCCCTCTTTCCTTCCTTCTTTCCTTCTCTCTACTCTCTCTCTTTCCTTCTGTCTTTCCTCCTGTGGCCCAACTCTAGTGAGAAGGGGTTTAAAGTTTAAACCCCTTCTCTCTTTGCTCCCCCCTCAAGGGAAGGGGAGGGGAGGCTTTTGAAGATGCCTCCCCCCCTTTTGCTTCCCCTTCTGCCATCACGTCCGGTGATGTCAGGGGGCGTGGCATATCCTAATAGCCCAGTAGCTCATTAGCATGCCATATGCTAATGAGCTCCTGCAGCTCTTTTTCTACAAAAAGACCCCTGATCCAACAGAAGTGCTGAAGATGGATGGGCTGGCTTTCTTTTAAAATGTTTCACGTGTCTCGGGTATTCATTTAGTACACACACTGGAACATATCCAACGGTGTTGTCCCTCGGCCAACAGATGAATCTACCATTATTCTGGTGAAATACCATTTCCGTCAGCAAAGGAAGAGAGTTTCACTGATTTCACTCTCCCATCGTGGGTACCCTACTTTCCCCTGTGCTGATCCTGGGGGTCCCCTGACCCCCAATAACAGACTTTTGGGGCTCCTGTGGGCTTGTAGCCAGAGGAGAAGGGCAGGAAAGTCCCTCCACCCAGCTTTACTTCATGGATAGTGCTTTGGATTCAACCTGTTTTGACTGCGGTCAGAATGACAGGGGGCCTTCCTGCCTTCACGAGGGCCGCCAAGGTGTGCTAACAAATGAAAACATACCCTACGGTTTTAATGTTTTTCATAGTTGCTGTTTGAATGTTTACTGTTTTATCCAATTGTTTCTGTACTGTTTTTAGACTAGTTATTACTCTCCTCGTCCTGAGAAAGGCAGGTACCGAAATCTATTTTAACTATATAAATATTATTTTAAAACGATCCTCAGTGGGAGTGCGGTGTAGCGGTTAGTCCGGACCAGACAGGCTCCTCAAATAGCCAGGATGCTCACTGAGTGACCGTGGGCCAGCCAGTCCCTCCCAGCCTACCTTTCTTCAAAGGCTGAAACAGAAGGCAGGAAGACCTGCCCTACAAGGCTGTCTCCCCTTTATAGGTGAAAGCACTCCGCATGAGAATTGGCCTTGTATCATCTTTTTGCAGACTGAGCGTGGCAGAGTGGTTAATGTCTCAGACTAAGAACTGGGAAACCCAGGTCCGAATCCCCACTCTGCCGAGGAAACTTGCTGGGTGACCTGGGGCCAGTCACCCACTCTCAGCCTGACCTACCTCACAGGGTGGTTGTGGTGAGGACGAAGCGGAAGAGAGGAGAACAACATTCGCTGCTTTGCGTCCCCACTGGGGGGGGGAGGCAGAGTACGTTTTAATTACTCCGTTTATGAAGTAAATAAATAAAGCAGATCCTGCTCGGCACCTCTCTAACATCGGAGCGATTCGCTGCACACTGCCCCACAAGTTCAAGGTTATCCTCGCAATCATAAGAGTCAAATCCTTGCATTGGCCCATTCAGGGCTATTTTTGGGCAGGAACGCACAGAAACGGAGTTCCGGCTAGATCCGGAGTTGACCACGCCCAGCAGGAACTCATTAGCATAATAGGCCACACCCAACAGCAGGAACTCATTAGGATTGGCTACATTAGGGGTGTGTGGCCTAACATGCAAAGGAGTTCCTGCTACCCAAAAAAAGCCCTGGGTTTGGACAACAAACAAGGTAAACAGAATAAGAAGCAAAAGGTGGGTGTGGCTGGATGACCACACTTCCGGTAACACGGGGGTGTGGCCTAATATGCCAATGAGCTGTGCTGTCAGGGGTGTGGCCTAATAGGCTAATGAGTTTCTGCTGTTGGGTGTGACCTATTATGCTAATGAGTTCCTGCTGGGCTTTTTCTACAAAAAAAGCCCTGGGCCCATTTATTTTCCGACAGTCACACACGGAACTCCCCCAGCTCCCATCACCCTTGTCAAGTTCATCACAATCCACTGGGCCTACAAGCCCCCTTTCCTTCCCCAGAACGTCACCTGCCTTACCTTCTCGTTGATGGAGACAGCTACCTGGCCTGGAGCGTCTTGGCCATCGGAAATCCAGTTCCTCCGAGCCATTTCTTCCCACTCGGCTTGCATCTTATCCCAAAACTCTGTGTCTGACTAGGGAGAAGATAGAACAGGAGAAAGAAAATGGAAGAATGAACAATGCCAGGTTTCAAATTGTTCCTGATGATCACTGTACAAAGCCAGATCACTTCTGAGTCGTGGATGAAGACGGAAAGTAATTTTTACTTTGCTATCTGTGGGTTTGTAACATCCAAGTTCTCTCCTGAATTTGTCCTGCAAATGGGCTTTGATCAAGCAAAATCAATGATCAAACAAAGGTTGTTTGATGCAGAGTGACAAAGGGACATTAACAATGTTCCAAACTTCCTGATACCTGAGAAGCTTAAATATGTTGTCGCCCCGGCACCTTATCTCTCTGTCCTGGAGGTACCCAGTCAACGGAGAGCATTTACTCTGGCGAGATGGAAAGTCCTCCCCTTTGCAGTTTTAGAGGGGAGATAGAAAAAGATTCCCATCAAGGAAAGGATTTGTCTGTGTGGCACTGAAGAGGCAGAGTCAGTCGAGCATGTATTATTCCACTGTCGCTTCTATCAGGAAGCTCGTTCTAATACAATTTCCCCTCTGCTTATCAATCTTCCCGGATGTTCCGATGTTTATATTTTAAAGAAACTTTTAATGGGTGCTAATCAACAGGTTACCATTAGTTGTGCCCAAAAAAATTTCAGTCGCCTGTAGAATTTGTAGAGATATTTTATGTACGGATTTTAACTAATTGTTGCCAATAGATCGGACCAATTTTACTTTCTAATGCCATTATTGTGAAGCTTTTATTCTTGTACTGGTTGTTGGCCGAATAAAGAATTGATTGATTGAAAAAAACCATCCAAGTTAGATTACTGTATGGCATGATACATGAGGGGCAGGGCTTGAAGACTGCTCAACAACTTCAACTGGTTTAGAGTATGACAGTTAGATTATTCCTTGAGACATTTCAGTTTAGACACCCCTCACCATTTTAAATCAATAACTTATGCAGACTTTTGCTTCCTATGCAGTTCACGATGTAATAATAATTAAGTTCCATCCAGTCGCAAACAACTTATGGCAACCCCTCATGGGGTTTCCAAGGCAAGAGATGAGCAGAGGTGGTTGGCCATTGCCTTTCTCTGTGTAGCAAACCTGGTCTTTGTTGATGGTCTACCATTCAAATGCTATCCAGGGCCAAACCTGCTTAGCTTCCAAGATCCCACATGCTTGGGCAAGCCTGGGCTTTTCAGGCTGTAAGCTTTGAGAACAGGCTATGTGAAGGTCCTCGTTCTCCCACATCCACTTACAAATGTTTAGGGTCTTTTCCTGAAGTACTAGGGGCATCAGTCTTCTATTGCTGAGCAACTAAGGAGACAGCTTTTTACAGGAATGTAGGAAGCTGCTCAATACCGAGTCAGACCACTGGGCTATCTAGCATTAGTAATAATAATAATTATGCCATTGTGTGTGGAATAGCCAGGAGATTCTAAGACTATCCGGCAGTCAGAAGTTCTAGCTCTCTTAGCATTATGTACCACTAGGTGGCGAGCCACACTTGTTTTTAAGGCAAGAGACGTTTCAGAGGTGGTTTGCCATTGCCTGCCTCTGCGTCACAGCCCTGGTATTCCTTGGAGGTCACCCTTCCAAATACTAGCCAAGGCT